GTCTGGCATGTACACTACGCGGCGAATTCCTACGACTCTATTGCCGCTGAGCTGTGGAAGATCTACGACCAGGCAGGCCCCTGCTCTACAGCATTTCCAGGTCAATTTAATATTTTACCCGAGTTTTCAATAATTTAACCACTTCTTTACCGACTTCTTTTCCATCATTTACCGACTGATTTTAACTAGAAACTAGTGGAACCCCGTCGCTACACTCCGGGAGTCGCTACGCTCCAAGGACAGAATGGATGGAGTAATAATGTATATGGAGCGCAGATTTTGAACGATGAGAGTAGTTAGATGTACGATGTTCCGAGAACTGAACGCAAAAGAGACAGGCATGATGCTCCAACGTTTCGCCACAACGTGAACAACTTTGGCATGCTGTTATGCAGTTGTGAGTCAGTCGAGATTATGACCTCGTTTTCTTTTCTTGAGCCGCATGGATGTACGATGAGGAGGAGGTTCTGATCGAAGTTGGACCTGAAAGGAAATGGGTCGAGTTAACGTTATGAGTTCGGAGCAAAGATGCTAGGAATTAATACCTGCGGTAAGAGAGGAGTCAAATCGACCATCAAATCTTCCATAGTAGGATTCGGTATTCTCGATGGTGCCGAATTACTAATTCGGTAATTCGGAATTAGTAGCAGACTCAAATTGTTTGTAGAAAGCATCATATTTCTCCATTGTAACCTGAAAAAACGTGAAGGCAAATCGGACGTTCATATGTTAACTATAGCAACGGATTGGTAAGACGTACCTTGGTGAGCATTTCATCATCAGCGATATCATATGATGCCGAGATAATATCACTGCAAACTTCACATATGAAAGTGGAAGAAGTATTAGTAGTAGCAGGATTGGAAGCCTCGCAAACGGCACATGCCGTAGTGGGCGAGCTTGCGTCTATAGAAGACGTATTGGACATTGTTCGAGGGAGGGATTGATGTAATAACTTACACGCCAAGTTATTACTGAGAACGCTGAATATGAACAAGACAGAATAATAGAATAGGACGTTCGATAGTATCGAATTGATAGTTAGCCATCTGATGAGTGATACCGGCGGAATAGTTTGTGATTTAGAAGCTATAGTGTACAGGAAGAAGAAACTGATATCAATGTAAGAGTGATGTATTGTTTAACTCAACAGTATTTGCAGATAACACGTGAACACATTACACTCTTATGTCATGTTGCAAATGTTGCACTTGGTCATGAAGTTCAATAGAACACTCGAGCCGACACATCCATGCTTGATTCTGCCGCAGAATTTCTGCGTCTTATAGCTGAGGAAGACAGTAACCCACCCCGCCCAGAGCACACCGTGTAGTAACGATGAGAGAAATCAGGGACACTACAGAGGGGAAACTCTGAGGCTGGTCTACTCCGAGCAGGCTTCACGACAGAACTAAATGACTGAATAAGTGTACGTAACATCTTCTAAGTTACAGACGGCATATACAAACCAATGGCGATTAAGAATTAGAAGCTAACATTGTTAGTGATGAATGATATAAAATGACAATCGATCTATCGAAGAAGAGGTAGTAAATCATATGAGAAAAAAAGAATGATTATGGAAGAAAACACAAAGAGAATGTAAAAGTTTGTTGTGATGCAAGAAAGCATGATAATTCATCAATATTCCATACGAAAACGCTCATCGAAAATCATGCTACGATTTCATGATAGACTACATCTGTTGTGAAAGTTGACGCAGCAAGCTGAGAAACCGAAGAGACAGGACTGTGGGTAGTAATTTGTTGTGAATCTATATAAGGGGATTGGTCTACAGCGAACTTGATATGGCTGGGGTCACCCACACGGCAGGCCGCCACATATAAATGCCCATGATTGAACGCAGGTTGGGGGAGATAAACTCCCAATTTTTTGAGTGATTGACCCTGGGCCTTATTAATCGTTACACACAGTGAGGCCCTCACTGGAAACTGCCG